TATATATTTTTATAGTTTTATTTTGTTTCTTATGTATTGGTTTTCGCCAGTAGTTTTTTTACAAATGACATAAAAAACCGTTTCAGTAGCTGTGATTTTGAAAGTTGATAATTCGTTGAGTTATTCTGAAAAAAAACTTTGATTACATTGTTACATACCATATGATATTGGACAAGACTCATAAGGATAACAAATCTCCGTTAACAGATCTATCGGTGATTCGTTTTGTTGCACAAGAAATAAGTTTTGTTGGATGTGATACAAAACTGTTTGAATAGTGCAATAAATACATACCTAATATCTTTGATAAATACCCAATGTTATTAGGTAGAGTTATGTAGCATAAACTTTATTGCAACTTAAGCAAATGATATTTCGTGAGATAATTTTCACTGTCGCAATCTTATGGAGTTTTCAATTTTTATTCTTCATCTTGAGTTTTAGTACATCAGTAAAAACTTGCAAATACTGTAATCGCTATTTATATGATGACAACTCAGGTCTTACTATTTTTTTTTGTCAAAATCAAACGTCATGCAGGTTCACTGTTCGATACACAAAAAACATTTCACGGAGTGTTTACGTTATTTTTATCTTTTATTTTCTAGTTTATTTGTTAAATGCAATATACATTAAATTTGTGATTGCTAGAAAACTGTGAGTAATTTTAAACAAAAATTCGTCCACTTGGATCAAATCGATAGTTTTTTAATAAAAACGACGATTCCGATTTATAAGACGCGGACGTGCACTCTGAAGCATCAATAAACGACGAAGCTGCAGAATCTAGTGATATGTTGGACGTGGCCTTTTCAAGGCATTCTTTTCTTATGCTTTGAACTCTCACGTGTTGATTGAAAACATTCTGAAACGAGAGTAAGGAAAATTTTTTTTTTAATCACAGATTTGCTTCATTCACAACAGGAGACAAACTTAGGTGTGGCAGGTATAACATTGACTATCATGACCTTTTTTTTTTTTCATTAAATATGTATAAAAAAAAGAAATTCAGTTAACCATACCAAAGAATACCGTACAATCGAAATTTTGCAACAACTGTTCATAAATATGCCGATAAGTGTAGGAAATCAAAGTACACACAATAATTTTGCATTCAAGTAAAACGATGAATCGCAATAATTCATTTTTCATTGAGACATACACGTCAGCCGCACTATGATTAAATGGACCTATACAGGCAAAATAACACTAATCCTATTTCGCTAAGCATTTAGTTAAAATACATGCAAAAAATGCTAACCGAAAAAGAATCATTTAACACTTCGTCATCACCATGAAGATTCAAATTTATCAGAGATTAATGAGGCAAAAACGTGCTACTGCAAAAACTCTACATCTGTTTATCGTGCCTTAGGGAGCACTTACACCAGGAAAAGGGAAGCCGAATAGCTCCCCTCTAAGCGTTAAAGTGTTTGGTTACTACAGGTGTATACGAGGACACCCATGTAGGTTATTCATAAAAGTATATTATGTTCTATTTTCAGAAAAAAAATCACAAATTTTTAACTTGGCGTTACCTTTTGTGATCCTAAAATGCCTCACTCATTTCCAACAGACTTTAAACGAATTGACCCAACGAACGGACAACTCACCCAAATTAAAAAAAAAAAAATAATAATAAGGAAAAGTCACCCAAGCTCTCACCGTAAAACCAGCCCCCCAATCCAAAGTCCGACAAATTTCCGGTCCCATCTCGCTCCGGTTCATCTCATTTGGTAAATAAATATTGTAGTTT